TAGCAAGAAAACCAGCTCCATGGCGTGCTTTGCACTGTCCTGAGTCTCGGCCCTAGAAACAAGGACAAAATCGTCATAGAAGTTGGTGTTCATTACAAACAATCCTCTCGCAGCGATGAAATGAAGCATTTTCGCAAACCGCAGAAAACAGTATACACTATGAGTAGCCCCAAAAGGCAGGGTCTGCATCTGATACACTTCAGCCTGCTCCGTTTCATGGTTGAAGATGCTGAAGTATGCATACTTGAGATGGGACTCCCGGATGGGAATCTGTCGGTAGGCGCTCTTTAAATCATATGTCTTGGCAACCAAGGAACTGTCAAGCTGTCTCTCCGCACAGTACCTGAAATATTGGTTTGCCAAGGCCGCCAGCGCGTCAATCATATGCAGATCCACTTTGTTGTGGGCCGCACAATTATCGTTGATTCCGCTGACAGAATAGTCGTCGATCACTCGAGCCTTGCTGCCTTGCTGCAGCAGAAACCTTCTGGAAACAACGGCATCCTTCTCGAGCTCCTCCAGTTTGAACGGGCCTCTGGCCCACCCTTTCCTAATCTCTTCTCGGGTCTCTACCAGAAGTTGCTCGTCAAAAGCTCGGTCACCCGAACTCCTGGTCATGTTCAGGATGCCGCATTCTTAAGGGTCGCGCCTTTGTGCAGCTGATCCATCGTCTGCATGCAAGGCTTGTACTGTTTTTGAAAAACCGAGGATTCCTCGACGTCACCAGCAAGAGTCGCGCCTTCTTTTAGCATCTGCAGGACCTGGACATCTTCATAGCCCAACTCCGCAAGAATCTGTTCTGTTAACAGGACCTTTTTATCTTTGGTGTTTGCTCGAACATGTGCAGGTCGCGTGTCGGCATCCAGTCTTTCTGCATCCTCCATTTCAACTGCCTTTTTCAACCAACGTTTGCACCAATCTGCTCTGTAAGAACTCATTTGGTGGTCATTCCATTCCAAGTTCTTGTCAAGTGCAAGTTTCAAGTCTGGTGGGACTTGATGATCACCCAGAAGGGGGGTGACCAGCTTTACACGCTTGCTGAATGAATGTTTCATAACTCCACGGCAGGCCAAAAACAACTTTGTACCCTTGGGGTTGAGGGTCAAGCTCACTCGGACCTGCTCCTAAAACATCACTCAAACCAACTTCCTCCGCACTGCTTTCAACCCCCCCCTTGTTGGTGCGGGAGGAATTGAGCAAAACGAAGAAAACGCGAAGCAGCCGGAATGTTCACAGCCTGTCCATTGAAGGTGCGCAAGGTGATGCTCTTGGGGAGTTTTTGCATCAAGGAACATGGAATCTGCGACAAATTGTCGGCATGAAAAGAAGCAGTAGCAGTAAACTCAGGCACCAATGGTGGCACCTTTCGTCGGGGTTGAAGGCCGCTGGACACCTGGGCAGCCTGGGCTTTCAGCAGGGGGTGAAGATGAATATCTCTCATGGATTGCGGCTGCAGGATCAAGCCGAACGAATGGGCAACTTGAAGTACAGATTGCACAAGAGCAATACACATCTTTCGGGGGTATGCTGATTCTAGGCTTGTGGCCCAGACTCGCTTTCCGTCTGAATCTTGGGCGAAGCGCCAAGGCTCATGATCATGGGACTTGTCACACTCTATGGAGAGCTGCTGAATTTCTTGGAAATTCGCCACAATGCGGGTCCACTTGTTTCGAGCGCCGCCGAGCATGCAAACGTGGAAGTCAGCGACAAACAACCTGCAGGTTTTCATCAGGTGCAAGAACCAATCCGTGACCCAAAAGTATGAATTCTTTGGGTTCTCAACTGTTGCTAAGATGCCAGCTTGTACTGCTTTCTTGAAAAGCTTGCAAGTGTATTCAAAGAGGTCATTTGCGATGAGAACACGTTGCTTGTCATTCCCGGATAGGCTTGGCAGCCCATGCGGAAATTCATTGCTGCGCAGTGGTCTCGGATCTGACCAATGCACTCTAATCTCTCGGGCCCTTGAGGCCGTTCCACAAACAGGTGCAAAATGCATCCACAGCAAAAGGGGTGAATCCATCCAGTGTTCCAGCAACAAGCGATCTTCAGAGTTCCTGAGGTCGAGTTGGAACACAGAACTACGAGCACCTTTCTTCCTCTCTTTATCAACTGCAATTGATCCAGCTAGGCCATGCTGTTTAGCCGTGGCACAAAGGATCGCGCAGCCGCAAAACACTTCAATCATGAAAGTCTGCTCGACATGCATTGAAGGCCAAGACCTGAATTCACTTTGCGAAGGCTGATGTCAATGTTTGTGCTCAGTCAGGCTGTGCTTTGCCTGACACTTGGGTTCCATGCACAAATGCCATCCACGGGAACATCGCTCCCCAGGCTTCACGGTAGTCGAATTTGGGCATCCATCGACTGTGTTGTATGCGAAGCACAACGGCTCACCCTGTGGCGTTTTGTGCCACTTGCCGATCAGCTGACGAGGCATTGGCGGAGCACCACCTTTTCCTTTACCTTTACCTCTCTCTTTACCTTTCTTGCCTTTGCCTTTTTCGGACTGTTGACCATAGGGTCCTGGCCTTGGAAAATCTCTCGGTCTCTCAATCTGCACAGGCTTGGCAACTGGTGCCAGGTAGAGCGTGATGTTCGGGTCGGCTCGAAGGGCCAAAAGGGCCTCGCCCACAGGAAATCTACCGTCGATCAACTGCTTCACCGAGTGCACGGTACTTGCAAGTCTCGCCCAGGCTGCTCTGTCACATTGAATGACCTGGGCCAGGGATGGCTTGTTGTATCCCGGTGGACTCTCACGATGCAATGCTTCTACTAAAAAGGTCTCCCATTCATTGCGCTGATCAAAACTCATGATCCTGGCGAACTCTAGAGCGATTGCACGGCGAGTGAAAGCAAAGTGGAGTTTCAACTCGCTGTCTGTCACGGTGCTAAGCTTTTCATCCTGGTTTTTCAAAACAATTGTTCCTTTCTCAAGGCTAACTCTCTCGTTTGTTTGCTTCCTTGGATCTCATATGTGCGACTATACAATGCAAACAGAAGGCTCCAAAAACTTTATGATGTTTTGGTCATACATCTGACAAGCTCGCTCCAAAACAACATGGGCGGGCTCAAGTTCGCCCTTAATGGCCACACCTGTCAAACGGGTCTTCAAAGCATCCATGCGTGTCTGTCGCTCAGCGAAAGGAATCTTCTTTGGTAGTGTGTCATCTTGCTGCTCTACTCCTTGGCGTAAAAAAAGCGACTAAGTAAGTCTGAACTTCGAACGTGATTCTCTTGATCAACGCTACTTCCTGCAAGGTTGCCTCCCTCGATAGGAGGGTTCTCAGAAAAGCTCCTACTTCATCATTTGTAAGTGGCTGGTTTGGCTGGCCGATTGCAAATGCCAGATGGCTCATGGTCCGAATGCCACCATCTCGAAGAGCCTGTCGCACACCGTCAGACATTCCCACCTCCAGTGCCCTGGATTGGAAGTGGGCCTCACTATCTATCAGATTCGCCATTGCACTCACAGCAAAGAAACTACACAAAACAAGTGAACAAGAAGAAGAAACCTAGTTCCACGTTAAGGTGAGAACATGTTGGCCT